CGTACCTTCAGACAGTTGAATGAGAAAAATACATTTTTAAGACAAATCTCATCTTCACCACATCATTTATGTGTGATTCCAAACGTTTTGGGTGAAGAGACACATTGTATATATGAAAATTGTTAATAAACAGAGAACAGCACAAGAATTTGAGTGATTGAGAAACAATAATTATTGTGGTTCAAACATTTTTTTTTTTACCAATTAACACATGATTAAAGAGATTTTGCAGTAGATTAATTTATACTCTTTTGGTCTAAACACCATATGGATGTATTCTGTTTGATCTTTTCGAATTTAAGCCTACTCTTGGTGATATTGCTAGTAAGTAGTCCGCGGTTAAACGTTAATTTTGAAACAAGAAAATAATGAAACTCAGATACCAACCCTGATAAGAATTGATTCTATAGACAGAGACTTCCTGAAACATATTGAATAATGATTGCTGAGTTATAATTAAGTTTCTAGCTGTTTCCCTATCCATTATACTTCAGATGATTTTAAAAATTGATAAAAAAGTTTATTAACGTTTGAAAACAAACGTGGGATATGTTGTGGTGTTATCTTCATATCTAATGGAGATCATATATATCTGGTTAGTTCAATAGTTTACTTTGGTTATTGTATTTGGTTTATTCTCACTTGCATACCACATTGTACGATCGAGAGTTGCTACTAAATAATTACAGAAAACATATCGCTTTGGATTCATGTTTTTTCGTTAGATTATTTTAGTTTGATGGACGTTGTGAAACTATAAACAGCTAATCCGTTGAATACATAAGATGCGTGTTTGTTAATATAACGAGATATATATTCAACTTTCTTACGTACGGTACACCCAAAACCTTGGAAGAATCTTTTTCTAAAATATGTAATTTTTAATATGAATTATATCCCATAAAAATTATTAAGAAAACAATATCGCTCCTATAGCAAGAAGAGAGACGGTTCGAGAAAACCAAGTCGGAAAAAGCAAAATATAGCTGCCTTCCTCCTATGAATAACGATGATGTCGTTTAAGGAGAGAACGTTCACGAATGCACGCAATTGGCAAAGAACTATAATGCATATACATTGCCTGATCTGAGATTTTGGAGGATTCAAATATTTCTTAAAAATTTTGATGAAATAACTAAATTCATTATTTAAAGGTTTATACCTACATACAACAACTTTTGAAATTTATGGGGGCCAAAATCAATGTTTCATTGATTGTGTCCAAAACAGGCCATTGATTGTGTCCAAAACCGGCCAATTATTGTTTTAAACATTGTTTCTGTCGAGATTATTGTATTTGAGTCCATTTCGATATTGTTTCCTTGTAATTCACCTAATTTATTTTCAAAATGACAACCTATCAATTCGTTTTTATATTGATACCGATTCAGATTCAGCAGGTATGACAATGAGAGCATCAGCTTGATCAGTTTGATACTCAGGTGCATGGGAGCTGCCTGAGGCACGTTTTCATGTGTAAGAAGCATGTTACGATTGATACAATCATTCTTTTACGATTACAAATCGTCCAACATCTTCAGGTTTATGACTCAACCACACTTCTTTCAGATGTGCAATGAAAATAATACAAGAAAACATCACATTATTTTGGACTTTTGGCAAGGTCAGTGAGACATCATCTTCAGACAGTTGACTGAGAAAAATACATTTTTAAGACAAATCTCGTTCACACCACATCATTTCTGTATTTCAAATGTTCTGGGTGAAGAGATCTTTTCACATTGTATATATGAAATTCGTTTATATCCAGAGCACAGCAACAATATTTTGAGTGATGAATAAAACAATAATTGTTGTGGTTCCAACATTTTCTTTGCCAACTACCACATGATTAGAGAGATTCGATCATTTATACTTATTTGGTCCAAACACCACATGGATACTCTATTCTGTTTAATCTTTGATTCTCTTTCGAATTTAAGTCTATCTGTTAATATTGCGAGCTAGTAGTTCGCGGTTAAACGTCAATTCAAAAGCAAGAAATTAATGAAATTGATATACATGACCCCAGTCCTGAAAATAATTGGTTCTATACGCAAGGTGGGATGCCAACTTCTTATAAACAAAGAAAATATTTAAAACGCTTCAGCTAAATGAACCGGTGGCATAGAATCAATGTAAAAGAAAATTCAAACATTACCCACTTTTGTATGTACTTGCATGTGGAATAAAAACTTTTGCATCTATGAAAATTTCTAAATATGATGAGAACACTATTGGTTCAACAGTGTTTTATTTATATTTTGATAAAGTGACACCAATATTTTGTATAGCTAAGCATATAGTTGTTACAGGTAATCTAAGAGCTCAGTGAACCTGATGGGGAGAGATTCATAGAAAAAAAATTTATTCTTTTTTTTACTTTTTCGGAAAAAAAAATTAAAAAACAAAAAATTTGGCGAATCACGAACCGGGTTCACCACGATGAATCCACGCGCGTCGGATTCATCATTATTCCTCTCGAAAAATGTGTGAACCCTTCCTTAAAACCCCTAATGGGCATGCTCTTAGACTGGACAAAAAAAAATTCCTTATTGAGACATCCTTTGGTTTTGGAAGACGGCAAATAGCGATGACACATCATTTCTTCTACGTGTTATACGTTTTTGGTGTCAACACTTGGTCAATTGACAATTGGTGGGAGTGTTACTTCTATAAATTTTGTGTAAGTATGGATCTTGATAGTAATTTTTTTTTTTGTGTAAGTTGGATCTTGAATGTACGGATATTATTTAAATCGATGCTGCTAGTGCCTATGATAAATGAATTTCTGCTAAAGAAAAAATTGAAACCTAATTAATATACTGACTAGTGACTACTAAAATAAATTAGAGTTTCTACGTGTTCCGCATTTATTAGACTTGGATAATTTTAAAAGTGACAAAATGACGTTTATGGGATAAATTTTTTGAAACCCAAACTTCGGTCTTTGGACATGTTCGGACATGATTAACCGAGATTCTTAACTCATGATTTAATACTTTTTATTTTTATATTTTTGATTAAAAGACAATTTTTAGACCATGATTAACCCTAGTTTCTTAGTTGGGATTCATAGTTTTGACTAAGAAATGGGTTCTAGCGTTTTTTAACTTTTAACTAATAAAAAATAAAAATCATCTCTTAAATAAGAGATATAAAAATTATCTATTAGTCGAAAAGTATTAAAAATAAATAAATAAAAAGATGTCAAATCAAACCCAATTAAGAAACCGGGATTCATCATGCCGGACCGGGGGTTAATCTTTATCTTCATATCCATCCATAACATAGGGGTTTAATCTTTATCTTCATATATCCATCCATAACATATTTGGATCTAAGAGGCCATCAAATGTTCCTTAATGGGCTTAACCGTCCTAAAGCTCTACTAAATTGGGCCAAAACTTATAACTGGATCTTAAAGGCCCATTATAGCAACCTAGGGTTCAGACGAACTCATCTGCCTTAAATACAAAACTGTTTATCCAAAGCTTAGACTTTTAGGGCTTCCAGTGTAAAAGAAAAAGTTTCAGACGCGGCGGCGGAGCCATGGTTCTCAAGTAAGCACTCTCATCTCCTTTCTGTTTCTTCATGTTGCTCAGCTCATAGGGCTTGACATTATTGTAAATGATCTTGTTTAGTTCTTCTGCTTATTGTATGGTTAAAATGTTAGCAAGTTTGAGATTTTCCTGTACCTGACATGGTTTTTGTGTTCGGTAATAACTAGACGTAGTCGTGTCTCTCTGTTTGAACTCATTGCCCTTATGATCCAATGTGATTTCATGACATGACATGTTATGTATGTTCTGTTTTGTGTTTGGTTATGATTGAGACATGTTAGAGTGGTATATCTCTAAAGCACTTTGATTATGTTTTTTTGACGTTTTAGGACTGAGCTTTGCCGATTCAGTGGACACAAGATATACCCAGGAAGGGGTATCAGATTCATCAGATCTGACTCTCAGGTTCTTTTTTTTAATTGCAATTAAAGAATCTGTTTTACTCTATGTCTCTTTGTATATTGATTGTTATTCTTACATGTTTCATTATCTCAGGTGTTCTTGTTCATCAACTCGAAATGTAAGCATTATTTTCATAATAAGTTGAAGCCTTCCAAGCTTGCATGGACCACCATGTACCGTAAACAGCACAAGAAGGTTAACCAAAACTCTTATTCTTGTTTTTATAGCTTTGGTTCTGTGTAAGTGATACTAATTTTGTGAGTCTTTCAGGACGCTGCTCAAGAAGCTGTGAAGAAGAGGAGACGTGCAACCAAGAAACCATACTCAAGGTCCATCGTTGGTGCTACTTTGGAAGTCATTCAGAAGAAGCGTGCTGAGAAGCCTGAAGTTCGTGATGCAGCCAGAGAAGCTGCCTTACGGTTAGTTTTCTTTTGGAAGAGTTATCAATCTTTTGAATACTGAAAAATGTGATTAGACTCTAAAATAAAATTTGATGATTGTTGCAGTGACATCAAGGAGAGAATCAAGAAGACCAAGGACGAGAAGAAGGCAAAGAAGGCTGAGTTTGCTTCCAAGCAACAAAAAATCAAGAGCAATGTCCCCAAGGCTGCCGCACCCAAAGCTGCTAAGTTGGGTGGTGGTGGTGGCAGACGTTGAATAGATTAGCCTTCTCATTCATCTCTCTGCTCTTATCTTTCTTTAATTGTTTCGACCAGTTTTTATAGTTTTGCACCTTATCTGATATATTGTTCTCAAAAGGGATTTTAATGCAGATTATGAATTTTTTTGTTTGGTTTATCCCATTGCGTTTTAATCTCAAATATCTGAAGAAAACTTTGATCTAAGACACCGTTGATCAGTTTTGTTCTTTTGCTTGTGGTGATGATCATTTTATGGCCTGTCTATGGCTTTAACGAAAATGATCTAATGAGTAGGACCAGAGAGAACTCAATTTTCTTGGTAAAACTAAAAACCAGACACAAAAACAAAACAGGACATTGTATTAAAGCTAAAGTTCTGGACCAAGTTTGACATCTAGTTGAGTTGGAACTGAGCTGATATTGCCTCGCTACAATCATGTCCCCACATTTGCTGCTTTTTACTCGAACCAACCTCTCTTATCATTGACTTCAGTTGAATAAGCTGTTCAAACAAGTGAAAAAGTATATCAAGTAATTACCACTCTAAATAAACAAGTTTAAACGGTACCTCTTCTTGTAGCAACTTCTTTTCTCGACAGACAACATCAAACTCCTGCCTTAATGATTCATAGAGATTCTCGAGTTGTTTGTTCTTCCACCTGGCTTTCCTGTTCTGGAACCAAACCGCAATCTGTCTAGGTTGCAGCCCGAGTTCTTTGGACAGCTTCATCTTCCTGTCCGGGTCAAGCTTCATCTCCTCTCGGAAACTTATCTCTAGTAACTTTAGCTGCTCGCTTGTCATCTTCTTCTTCTTTGTTTCATATCCATTGATGGTGTTACTTGCTTCTCCATAACTGCTCTCCACCATTACTGGAGGGGCTGCATAATAATGTTCATGAAGCAGAGCTCCTTGTGTCTCCACCATTGAACCTGAAGAGAAAAACATTGTTTTCTTGGTTTCCTACGACCTTATATAGATTGGATTCTTCATCTCAACGAATAGAGTTTTAGCACCAAGCACACATATTAGTTTCTTTACCTGAAGCATTGTCAAAGCTATGGAAAGGATAGATGAAGTTGGAAGAAGAATCGCCATTGATGAAGGGGCTGCTCCAACATTCCATATTGTCTTCTTCTTCTTTGTTCTCTTTTATCTATTTATGCTTACAACAATCAAGTTTCAGGAGACTTATGTTTTAGCCAAGCAAAGAAATGATTTAGTTTTGGGTTTGAAATGGAGTTTAGAATCTGTATATTTATGCACATGTTAGTACATGTATTTGCATAATATATAGAGATAAGTGTTGGAAAACCCTAGGTCTTCTGATTTTAACCGCGTGTAATTAATTGAGTCACTGTTGAGTGTTGAGTAAAGAGAAAGATCAAATAGTGTATGTAACGAATAGTTTCTCACTTTCTCCATTTAGGCTTTAACCGGTAACAAATGATCCAACTAATGGTAGTAAGTAAAGGTTAGGAAACAAAAGTGTGGTTAGTGTTATTGTAGATGACAGAACGATACAAAAAATAGTTGATAGTTATCAATATTTGGTTGACATTTTGGGTGATTGAAATAGTTTATTGAATAGATTTTATTGGTCAATGAGTCATTCAATATTTTATTTAATTAGATGAAAAATTAAGACACCAAACCCGCAAGTAATTTATACTAGATTTTGATCCGCGCTTAAAAGCGCGGAAATTTTTTATGATTAAAAATTTATATAATTGAGTTTTGTCTTAATTTAAAGAATATTTTGATATAAAATCAGTTCACCAAAATTTGTGGTGATGATTGTTTTTCATTAGTTTTTAGTTTCACTTTTTATTTTTAGATTTTGGTTTTTAGTTTTTAAGTTTCTATTTTTTCATTTTCAGTTTTTGGTTTGGGTTTTAATTTTTAAACCCGCTGAGTTAGTTTAAATAGATATTACCAACAAAGAAATCTCAAATAATCAAACATCTAATTTAAAACTGAAAAGATGAAATTTTTTAAAAAAAAATTGAAATAGTTTATTTTGTAAATAAACAAAGCAAAAAATATAATATGTGTTTTCAGCTTTTGGTTTTAGATTTTAGTTTTTAGATTTGGTTTTTGGTTTTGCTTTACATTTTTTAATCAGTAAATTATTTAAGAAAAATAAAAAAAATAAATTATTTAAAAGTTACAATTGAAATTTATCAAAACAAAGTGATTGTTATTTAAAATAAAAATATATATTAACATGTTTTAAAGTACATGATTTAAATAAATGATTAATAATAGATAATCTTGTTTTGTTAAAAATATTAAATACTTTTTGGGTCTGAAAATAATAATTGATTTTTGATCTTTTAAGATGGAAAGTTTATTCAATGTTTTTTGGAGTTTTTTCTTAATACTAAGTCCAAAAAACCAAACTTTTATAATTTGTTCAAAAAATAAAAGTAAGTCCAAGACTATTTTCCATAAATAACCAGTGGTTTAATTTAAGTATAATGAGTAGATTTACATATTCCATATTTTGATGATATATATTCTTTTAGAACATTCCATATTTGTAGGAAAAAAATATGTGTTTTCGGTATACACATAGATATCTGTCATATATTGAAGGTAGTTTACATTAAGGTCGTCTTTTTACATTAGTTGTGTTGGTTTAATTTAAATAATACGGTTCAATCAGTTATATAACTTATATTATTTGTAACATTTTAGAAATGATTCAAATTTAAATGACATTTTGTATCAGTAGATAAAAAGAATGACTTTGTTTTAATTGAATAGATGCTAACACTTATTATGACCTCTTCATTTTATGCATGAATTTTTTTACCCTCTACAAACCAATGCAATATATATTATATATATGTTGTTCAAAAAAAAAAAAAATATATATATATATATATCAATGATGATCTACATGTTGATAGAACTTTCACATGAATCTGTCACAGAAGATGCTAAAAATGTGGTTCTGCATGCATGTCTCCTCCGCACTGCCAAAACATGAGAAAAATATGCCAATTGAATCTTACTGCAGATCATAAAATCATAGCTTAAGGTGTGCTGTTAGACCGATGACTTAAATTAAGTTAAAACTCCATCGATCAAGTTAAAACTCTATATTTTATAATATTCAATTTTGATGGAAATGTGTGAATTACAAAAAAAAATATAAAATTCGTTTTTCATACACGTATCATGGTAAATCACATAGAAAAAGTGAGAATTCAAAGCCTTTTTTAAAAAAAAAAAAAGTGAGTATCCATAAATTTGTAAACTAGTAACTGTTGATCAATAGTTAATGTGGATATACTGTCGACAAAAATAGTTAATGTGGATATTTAGTATATGAAGAAAGTAAAACAAAAGAAGTAAGTGAGTTGAGAAAAGGAACAGTTTCATATAGAGGGGAAAAAGGAAGAGAGAATGGTCCAGATGCTACTTTTGTACACATGTGTATCACTTTCTCTACCTTAATCAATCTCTAATCTGACATATACCAATTCAAACTCCTACTCTTAATCAATATACATAGCCTCCCACTTTCATCTCTTTATATGTATTTGTATATAAAAGACCCCCTATAGTCTTTTATTTAACACTGTGGAGCTGCAGGAGTGCTACTACTCAAAACAGAAGATCAGAGAGCTGAGAAAGGCCCAATTCTATTACTGACAGAATTTTGGAGCACAGTGAACTAGGTGGTGAAATAGTATCATCATATCGATTTACGAGTTTTGTTTTTAATGTTGAAGAGTATTGATCCAGCTTTTTTTTACTTTCAAATGTCTTTATCAAACTAATTAATCTTTGTGAGCAACTGGAGCGTTGTCGAGCTAGGCCGGCTTGAAAAAACTCGAGTTGTTGATTGGTATAAAATGGCCCTTTTATAAAAACTTATTTGAACATACCATCATGAAATTGATAAAAAGGTTATGGATAGGAAAATTATGAACAGGTATTCAGTAGCTGATTGATAAAAACGATTTGTAAGTCATCTCATTATTCTTAAAGCTAGAGAAAATAGGAAGATGGCATTTTCAAACTATCTATCTTCTTCTCATATATCTCTCATTCCTATAAATATAAAGCTTCTCGGAACCTATACCTCTTGAAAGACTAGAAGTAATTACCGTCATGAGTTATCTTCCCAACCTATTTCAGTATTATTATGGGAGCTCTCTGATATTTAATTATAGCTGAAAAGTGTTTTTACTGGACCAGACAATTAATTTCAGCAGTTTTAACGTTCATACATAGTGACAAACTAGATCCAAGCTCATAGGTTCGTGCTTGAATCTCCAAAGGAAGAAACAAACAATATTTTTACCACTAGTAACACTGATCATGTTTGTATAAATCAAGTTATACAATAATAACATTACTTGTGTACTCGACTTGACATAACCTACGTATTAGTCATGTATGTATAGATTAAATTATACAATATTTGAGAATGAATCTGGATAGAGACACAATGACAGCACTAACACATACCACTACCATACGATATGGCATTGTCAAATGTGAAAAAGTACTTACTTTTTGTTGATTCTGGCATCTAGATTTGAGAAAATTAGAATTTAAAGACATGCAACTTATCATGTGTCATGTTGTGGTGAGGCTTATATAACAAAACAAACGTAGATCCATGTTGTGGTGAACCCTATTGAATTGTTAATTTAAAAAGTACAAAAAGTCTATTGAAATCAATACGTTGCAGTTCCGTTGGGATCGGAGTACTTCGTCACGGTCCAGTTAATTGAGATAGAGAAGGTAAATGGTAAAAAAACCATAATGATAAATTTGAACGTGGTCCATATAGCTACAGAGAACCTTTTTTGGGTAAAAAGAACGAGAGTGATGCGTGTATGTGTAAAGCAGCAGAAGCACATCTCATTTCTTTCTAGCTTGACTTTCTCTGCTAGTTACACCGATAAAACTCAATGTTCGTTAAAAAACAAAACCAACGGTCAATGGTTTTTGAAATATATATACTTGCTAGATAGAAGAGAACATGGTGAAATCTATAAGTTTTTTCTACCAAGTGCTAAACCGGTGAAGACATAGCCTGACTTTCCTTCCTTTTGCCATTATTACTGTTTTGGTAATTTAAAGCCGAACTTGTCATTGTCTCCAATATCCATGGTGAAAGCAAAACTAGCATTCAATAGCATAATGGACACTTCGAGTAACAAGTATACACGTTGTGTAACAATTAAATACTAATGGTCCCTTTCAGGGAAAAGAAATGGTCCTTAACATTGAATAAGACCCTTTTTCTTTCAGGTTAGAGTAGTCAAACCCACTTACATTTTGAATCTCCTTGGTTGTGTGACTTGTGTCCTTTCAATATCATGTTTTCTAGGACAAATTGAGTATTGAATAATGATTTCTTTCTCACACTACGTTCTAGTATTAGAAACACCTTGAATATTGAGCTAAACGGAGTATGAAGTAAAAACAACTAACTCGATCAAATTTACTATAACGTTATTCAAGATGACAAACAGTTAACAACTTCCAAGTATATCGTATAAGCAATAGTGTTGATGTACATCTATCTCCTTCTTTCTAACTATTACATGGAACCTGTCAAAGCCAAGAGAAAACTTTCTCATATGCAAAAGAAGACACCCGTTTTTATGTTTTCAAGTTTTAGAGTTAGAACATTACTCTAACCATTCTTGATTTGCCATCACAACAACCATCAATCAAACCTAAAAGCTGAGACGGGCCACTAATTAAAGTAATAACACTTATGCAAGCTTTCAAGAATAGTTCTCAAACATTCGACAAAGATACAAGAAGCTTGCAGAAACTGAGAATCAAGAACCAACAGTTGATGAAATGAATCACAAATCTTGACATGTACTCGCCTTAAATCTCGAAACCTAGTAGTCTAGGAATATTCTAAAGTTTAGGAAACTCTATGCTTGTTTTGCGACAAAATGACATAGCAATTGAGAGAAAGTGTGTGCTGATTGGTGAAGAAGAAAAAACTCAAAAATAAGCACGCCCGGTGGGACTCGAACCCACAATCGTTTGATTAGAAGTCAAACGCCTTATCCATTAGGCCACGGGCGCTGTTGTTCTTTGAAGTGCGCATAAATTTATATAATACTTCTGTCTTCTGCT